TTCATTACTTTCATTGACGATTACTCAAGAAAGATCTGGGTCTACTTCATGAAACACAAAAGTGAAGCATTTACGAAGTTTAATCAATGGAAAGCAGAAGTAGAAAGGAAGACAAGAAAGAAGTTGAAATTCTTGAGATCAGATAATGGAGGGGAGTACAAGTCTAAAGAATTTCAAGAATTCTGTAAAGAAGAGGGGATTATACGTCACTTTACCATACCAGAAACTCCTCAGCAAAATGGTGTAGCTGAGAGGATGAACAAGACTCTTCTGGAAAGAGCTCGCAGTATGAGCTTGAATGCAGATTTGAAGAAAGGTTTTTGGGCAGAAACAGTTAACATGACACGTTTCATCGTTAACAGTTCACCATCTACAGTGATTGATTGTAAAATTCCAGAGGAGATGTGGACAGGAAAGCTGATAGATTCCTCTATGATGAGGATCTTCGAATGTCCAGCCTATGTCCATGTTCAAAGTGGGCAACGTTCCAAATTAGACTCTAAGTCTAAGCAATGCATCTTTCTCGGTTTTGAGAAGGGAGTGAAGGGATTCAAGCTTTGGGATCCTACTTCACATAAGGTTGTGCTAAGCAGAGATGTTGTGTTTGATGAATCTCACATGGTGAAGTCAATCAACATGCAAGATAACAAAGTGCAAGTAAGTGAAAGTGATGGAGAAAGATTGACAGTCCAGGTGGAGCTAGAAGAGTTTGAAGCACCAGAAGAGGAAGAATCATCCAGCAGCATACCGGAACAACAACATTCACATGGTGAACCCTATACTTTGGCAAAAGGAAAAAAGAAGCGTGTTCACAAAGCCCTTGTGAGATACGGCGTTGAGGACATGGTAGCTTTTGCTCTAACTGTTGGTACTGGAGAAATCGACTCCTTCGAAGATGCTCTAAGTGATGCACAAAGTGATAAATGGATGACAACTATGACGGAGGAGATGGAGTCTCTGAAAAAGAACAAGACTTGGGAGCTTATCAAGAAACCCAAGGGAAAGAAAGTGATTTTGTGCAAGTGGATCTTTCAGAAGAAAGAGGCAGCAAAAGAAAATGAATGTGAGAGATTCTAAGCTCGTAGCAAAGGGCTAGGCTCAAAAGGAGGGAGCGGACTACAATGAAATATTCTCTCCGACTGTCAAGCATAATTTAATAAGGCTATTACTTGCTTTAGTAGCCATGTTTGATTTGGAGCTAGAACAACGTAATGTGAAGACATCGTTTCTTCATGGTGATCTAGATGAACAAATCTTTATGGAGCAACCTGAAGACTTCAAGGTGCATGGAAAGGAAGATCAAGTTTGCTTGCTCAATAGATCACTCTATGGTCTTAAGCAATCTCCCAGGCAGTGGTACAAGCGCTTCGACTCTTTCATGGTGCGGATTGGCTATTCAAGAAGTGAGTATGACTGTTGTGTTAATTTTAAAGTTTCTAATGATAATTCCCTTATTCTCTTGATGTTTTATGTTGATGATATGCTCATCGCTGCCAAGAATGCATTTGACATAACCTCTCTCAAGTCTATGTTAAGTTCTGCGTTTGATATGAAGGATCTGGGGGCTGGTAATAGGATCCTTGGTATGGAAATTCATAGAGATAGAAGTGCAGGTAAACTCATATTGAAGCGTTTCAACATGAAAAATGCCAAGTTAGTTAGCACTCCATTGGCAAGTCATTTCAAGTTATCTGAATGGCAGTGTCCCATTACGGATGAGGAGATACAGCAAATGTCTTTGGTGCCCTATGCTAGCGTAGTCGGAAGCCTCATGTATTCTATGGTTTGTAGCAGGCCGGATTTTTCTCATGCTTCAGTGTTGTTAGTCGATACATGAGCAATCCTGGGAGGGAGCATTGGAATGCTATGAAGTGGATTTTTAGATATCTGAGCGGGACTTCAGATCTCGAAATTATGTCCAGCAGGAAGAGAAGCTCTACAAAACTGGTGGGATATATGGATTCTGACTATGCTGGTGATTTAGACAAGCGAAGGTCTACTACAGGGTACGTGTTCACATTAGTAGGTTCAACCCACGATTGCCTTATCTACGACAGAGGCAGAGTACATGACAGCAGATGAGGCAGTAAATGAGGCGATCTGGATGACTGGTGTGGCTCGTGAGTTGGGGGTAGAGCAAGAAGGTACTGTGCTGCATTGTGATAGACAGAGTGCCATAAATCTTGCAAAGAATCAAGTGTTTCATACAAGGACAAAACACATTGATGTTAGATATCACAAGATTATGGAGCTTGTGCTAAAAAGAATCATTCACTTGAAGAAAATTCATACGAATGACAACCTTGCAGATATGCTTACAAAGCCGGTCACTACGGAGAAGTTCAAGCTTTGCTTAGAGTTACTTAATGTCTCTCATTGTTGAGAGTGAGGGAAGCACTATATGGCAGGTAGGGGTGCAGTCGCGTAACTTTATGGAGGTACAGGGATGAAGACATCTTTAGGGTGGCTCGGCAAAATTCAATCCAAGGTGGAGATTGTTGAGTATTGATATCTTGTATTATGAGGAAATAGATATGCCAAGGTGGAGTCAAAAAGACAACTCTGGAGGGCCGTTACTATCTGAGATTCGATATATATTATTGCGATTGGGGGTTCATCAAGTGTTAAGGGAAAAACACAAATTGCTTTATAATCAGTTAGGCGTGAGGAAGAGAGTTTTTGTAACCCTATTCTCCATTGCTAGTAAAGAAGTTCTCATCTCTCGTGGACGTAGGCACGTTGCGAAACCACGTATATCATTGCATTGTGGTTGGTTGTCTCTTTCTTTTGTGTTTGTTTCTTCTTTCTAGTTTTCGCGGATTGTTTGTCGTTTCTACACATATATCTTTCTCTCTTAAACACTCTCTACTCCTCACAGTGGTAACGTTTTTTTTTTTTTACGCATCTCTCTTTCTTAAATTTTATTTCTCCTATAAACAGATAAAATAAGCATCTACTATCTGTCTTTCGCTAAATATGGTAAGCACATTTCTCTTTTTCTCTTTTAAATTTTATTCTCTTGTAGGAAATCGCATGTTCAATGTTCGTGCACTAAATGGTATCTTGGATGTGGTGCATAGTATTTTGTCCAATAGATAAGGATTGATTTTATTCAATGAAATTTTTTTTACCAAGAATTTTATTGAATGAAATTATTAGATTGATTTTAAACGATGATCAATTTTACACAAAACTAGTAAGAAGCACGTGGGCTCTATTCAAGCCACACCCATATAGGAATCTTAATTCTCAAATTAAGATATGGAGACAATATCTATCTTTTATCAACCCATCACGCACAAATTTTAGGAAAGGTGGGATAAAAAAATATCCTATTTCTCAAAGCTTCCATAAAAATTTCTTATATCTCCTAAACTATCTCATTCTCTTTCTTTTGTGCGTACTTTCTCTTTCTCAAAGTCTCTCATTCTCTATCTCTTATGCGTACTCTCTCTTATCAAAATAACATATGGAAACAATATCTCTATCTCTCTCATTAAGATAGGAAAACAATATTGATTCTTGAATTAGAGATGGAAACAATCTCTTTTATCAACCCATCACGCATAAATTTTAGAAAAGGTGGGATAAAAAAATATCCTATTTCTTAAAGCTTTCATGAAAATCTCTTATATCTCCTAAAATGGCTCATTATCTCTCTTTTGTGTGTACTTTCTCTTTCTCAAAGTCTTTCATTCTCTATCTCTTATGCGCACTCTCTCTTTATCAAATTAACATATGAAAACAATATCTCTATATCTCTCTCATTAAGACTTTTGTGCGTACTTTCTCTTTCTCAAAGTCTCTCATTCTCTCTCTCTTATGCGTACTCTCTCTTTATCAAATTAACATATGGAAACAATATCTCTATCTCTCTCTCATTAAGATAGGAAAACAATATTGATATCTCTTTCTTATGCGTACATATATTCTCTCTCTTCCCCTAAACTGAAGAATATGTCCTACAATCTCTATTCCCCTAAACTGAAGAATATGTCCTATAATTTCTATTCCCCTAACTGAAAAATATGTCCTACAATCTCTATAGAATTAGCATGTAGTATAGTATAGATAGATGTAATAATGCAATATAGATAAATATAGATTACAAACATATGGTATTTTTAAATTTTATTCTCGTATAGGAAATGTTATGTGGTCTAATGTTTAGATAAGGATGAATTTTATTGTAATAAAGGAACGTAATGAATGATAGTATTAGATCGATTTTAGATAAAGATCAATTTCATACAAAATCTGAAAATGCAAAATTATGGTGCATCTCTTTGTCAAAAAACATAAGAAACGAATCAAGCAACTTTTCCATTTATCGTAGACATGATAACATGATTATTTATAAACACTTTAAAACTATTAAAATATTGTACAGATAGTTTTATTGGCATTATGAATATGTATTAATTATTAATACATAATGATATTTTCAGTTATCATGTATTTAAATATATATCGATTGTTTTTATTACCACATAATGATATTTTCAAAAGCATGTTATCATGTGAATATATGGTGAGGAGAAGAAGCATCGTGTAAGAAGAGAGAACTAATAAAAATGATCTTTTTCTTCTCATCAATGAATGGTAATCCAGTTACCTCCATTCTTAAAACTAGATAAGTTAAGGAGTTATATAAATCTTTTTTTGTTTTTTCCTATCTCCTTTCTATAATCCAGGAGATATAAGATATATCGGGGTTAGTGCTAAAGAGCCTATATAAGTTTCCAAGGATTTGCAGTTTTAGACAGAGAATGTAGGGTTCAGACATTACAAAGAAAAGTTGGGTTAGAGTTTCTCTGGTTACAGAGAAAGAGAGAGTTGAGAGAGAGTTTTATTAAGTAGAGAGTGAAGGACCGATTTGTGGTTTAGACAGAGAAGCAGGGTTCAAATATTACAGAGAGAAGTTGGGTTAGAGTTTCTCTAGTTACAGAGAAAGAGAGTTTTATTAAGTAGAGAGTGAAGGACCCTTAAGTTGCAGGAAGATGACAGAAGAGAAGAAGATGATCTTCTTGAGAAGAAATGACGGTAATACATTTGAATTCACAAAAGAGGCTGTCATGCAATGTGAACCTATCAAGAACATCATAGAGGATGGGTGCACCACTAGTGAGAAAGGTATCCCACTTCCTAATATTTCCAACGAGACTCTTTCGAAGGTAATCGAGTACCTCAATCACCATATGAAGGATGACAAGGGAAAGGGGAAAGCGGGAGAGGAAGAGAATAAGAAGACTGAGTGGGAACTCATTGAGTGGGATGAGAAATTTTTTAGCATTGATCTGCAAACCCTCATTGATATCACTCTAGTACATACTTTCTCTCCTCTTCTTTATTTCTCTTTCTCGTTACCTTTTAGTCTTTTCTTTTTTAGGTTTTTTCTTGATTATTTACTTGGAATTTTATTTTACTGTCTTGTTTTAACTTTGCTACTGCATCATCACTATTGATCACGTAAAAGAATCAGTTCTGTTTTGTTGTGTATTTAAATGTGTGGTGGTTTTTCATGGATTTCTTTCTCTGAGTTAGCTTTTTTATCTCGTGATGGACTAATTTCCCCATGTATTTTCTATGGTGGGTTTCTTTCTTTTTTTCTTAAAAGGTTATAGCAATGTTGCCTTTCTTCTTTTGTTCTTTGAAGTAAAATTTCTTATTTGAACAATTATGTGAAAATTTGTTTTGCTTAGCTTTACTATGCCTTGATTATGTTACAACATAAGTAGAGTGTTTTCTTCAATGGATTAATTTGTGGAAGTATGTTTGTTGTAATGATCCTTTTATTGTAGTATTTGACTCTCTCCCTCTCTCTAAGTGACAAATTTGGTTTTTTTTGAGATTTTATTTTGTGTTTATAAGTTGATTATGTGTAGTGGGGTTCTAATCGGATATATGGTAATGATGAAAGGGAATAATGGATCAATAGCTATGATCTCATTTAAGCTTTTATAGTTTTTAGTTTTTACTGATTAAAGTTCTTTAAATAGTGGTTTAGGGAGTTGAGGGGAGTCTTTGAATATTTACCTCTTATTATTAATTTATTCTAGAGAAGAAAATAAGCTTGTGATGCTTTGGTGATTGACTTCCTTATTTGGTTACTTTGTGCATCAATTGGTATTTGGTGGTTTCATTTTTGCATACTCCAATATTTTATTATTAGGGCTTGAGTCAAGATGTTGATTTGGAGGGTTATGCACTGTTTTGAGGGTAGTTTTGGTTGAACCTCTTGTGACTAAAGTTTTCACTGCTACATGTTTATTATTGGAAGTTCCATGCGAACTATTATTATTTTTTTTTATTTGTATGAATTTACTCTCTTGACACCTTAGTTTAATATTTGGTTGTTTCTTCTTGTCTGAAATTGTGAACATTTCATGGGGCTAGTCATTTTATATAAATTCAAGCTTTTGTCCATGATACTTTTTGCGTGATACTTTTTGGTGAAGTGTCGATATGTTAAGCTCCTATTTTCTCTCATTGTCAAGTCAGGTGAAGTGCCCATATGTTAAACTCCTATTTTCTCTATCATTGTCACTTCAGGTGAAGTGCCCATATGTTAAAATCCTATTTTCTCCATAATTGTCCAGGCAAGTCGTCATCTTTCCATCTGTTTGAGCATGATATTGTGATTGATGTTGTTATATATATGTGTGTGTATTCGGTAGTGAATTCCCTGCTGGACTTTGTATTTAATACATCGTAGCTTTATTGTTGGCAACATAGGCAGTCCTTTGATCAGGGGACTGATACATTAATACATCATAGCTTATAGCTTTATTGAGTGGTTCGTATTAATGTATTAAAAATAAAAAAAACTAAAAAAGGAAAGCTCAAAAGCCCTGCTAGGTTACAATCAAAATATGGTGATCAAACTTTCAAAAGAAAGAAAGAAGAAGAAGAAGAAGAAGAAGAAGAAGAAGCAATAAAGTTGGCTACTTGTGGCCGTCTGGTTTTCTTTCGGTGGAAAGGAATTTTGATATGAAACAAATATTTCAATCTTTTGTAGTTGTACCCCATATTCTTCTATTGGGCTATAATGTAAATTTCTCAATCCTGGCCTTTTAGGATAATTATCTAGAACAAGCATTTACTTCTGTTTACTACTTGTAATACTTTGTGTAATGCATGTTGTGAATCTTTTGTCCTTCTGGATTGAGTGCTTGACATGGTAAGAATAAGTTGAATTTATCGGACTTGTAAGTTATGCATGTTGTAAATCTTGGTAAAAATGAGATGAATTTATCGGACTTGTAAGTTATGCATGTTGTAAATCTTGTGTCTTGCTAGATTGAGATTGGCATGGTGTTTGGGTACCTGACTCACCATTGAGTTGAATTTATCGTACATGTATGTTGTGCCTGACTCACTATTGAGTGGAATTTATCATACGTGTATTCGTTCTCCCTTGTAAGGTACTACTATTCATTCTTGTTCTACAAGGTGACCAATGGATTTATTTTTTTATGCTATTAATTTATATAATTAATAGTTTTGTATAAATGTCTCTAGTATTTATTTTTGTTGTATTAATTTTTGTATTAATTTCTATGCTATTCATTCTTCTATTAATTTTTCTATGCTACAAGGTCTCTAGTGCTATTTAATTTATATAAACGTGAATCTATGCTATTCCCAGCTCGCGGTTGATATGTTACATTTTATTTTTCCCACTTAGTTTTGTTTTTTGTTAGTTGAACTCAAGAGGATATTTTGAATTGTTATTTGTGCCTTATTATCTTCCTTTCTTTTTTCCATGTTGTTTTCTTATTGTCCGTCTCTTTTGAAGCTAAATGTCCTAAGTTTTTGTGAATTCTCTTGACTTCACAGAACAAACAATACCTCTCTGGGGTTTCGGTTTGATATTTATTGTGTCACTGTATATTGTTTTTGCAGGCAGCAAATTACCTGAATGTCAAGAGCTTATTTGACAAGACTTGCATGACTATTGCCAATCACATCAAGGATTGGAGTGCCGAAGAGGTTTGGAAGGCTTTCGAAATTCAAAATGATTTTTCGCCTGAAGAAGAGGAGCAAGTGAAGATGGAAAACCAGTGGGCTTTTTAATGAGTCCCACTTGCTTGTTATATTTTCCCTTTTTCCTGGATATGTTTTATTTTACTTTCATCCTATGTTTAAATTTTGGTAATAATATGGTTGAATTCACCTCCAAAGGTGGCATTTTTCTAGATGGACATAAATATTCCTACATAAAGAATAATACATACTCAAATACAAAATATGTATAACATTCACAAAAAAAAAAAAAAAAAATGTTACACATGTAAAGAGTCTTAAAATTTTCATCAATAATTCATATTGCTCACACTGGCTATGATATATTTTCACATATGTTTTTTTAACAAAAACATAAAACAAAAAATACTTATAAAAGAAGAGAGATTCAAAATTTTGAATGTATTTTTTAAAATTTTCGTGTTTAGAGATGTAGGAGAAATTATTTTTTTAGTGGTCAATTTGGGACGATGTTGGGGGATTAAATATGAATTTAATTCTTGTTGTGAGACCAAGAGGGAATTTATTAACTGTTCGGGGTAGGTTAGTATCAGTTAAGTTATTAGTCCCTTGATTTATGTTAGGAGATTTCTTAGTCATCCTATTGGGGTAAGGTAAAGGCGCATGGAGTTAGGAAAAAATAGTTTTTTTGTTTTGGTAATTCAATTCGGATGATGATTCCTTACCCGCTTTTGAATTCCGTTTTTGAAATCGTCAGTAGTTTTTAAATACGTTAGGTGAAAATAGAAACCTAGACCTTGATTAGGGCACAAGTATGCTACCACCATGATTTTAACCACATTTTTTTAAAAAAAAATAGTTCTACTTAGAGGAGAAAGTAACTTTAGGGGTTTTTTTCTTTTAAATAAATTGTCGTTTGTAGTTGAGGTAGGAAGTCCCCTTATGAAGGAACTCTTTGCTTTTTCCCTTTTTTTTTTGTGGGGAACTCTGTTTGTGAAGAAAAAGAGCATCTTTTTCCTATCGACTAGATTTACACCCATATATTTCGACTTCTTGTTGTTGTTTCATGTGTGTTCTAAGATAAAAAGAAAGCTGAATTTAATTTCATCGGCTCCTTTCGCATCACTTACTTATCTAGTATCTCCTCCATTCTTACGATTACCTACGGAAAATAAAACAAAACGATGAACATGCTCGTGAGAGTTACACGGGGTTATCTCCCAGGAGAACAACGACGCACCCCAGAGAGCCTTCCATTCAACCAAAATAACTAAAGAATAATCAGGGACATGGCTCATAGGGTTTCCGATCCTCTTCAAATAAATGGCAAACAAACCATCAAATATGAAACACCAATATTATGAAATGTGTGTACCCGCAATGGACTTCCTAAAGCATTAAGCTGATCTTGACGGGATTTTCTAGTTTAGACAACCTGGTTTATCAAAGGTTCCATTGGGGTTCTGTATTGTGTTATCAGTGTTTAAAAAATCAACTCGGTCATGGTACTCGGACCCAGGCCAAGGTACTCGGACCCTGGCCGAGGCGCTTTACTAACAAAAAAGAGACTAAAGAAAGTAAATAGGGGAAGGTTGGGCCTGAGTGGCTTGGCAGGATCTCATAGTTTAGACAACCTGATTTGTCTAAAGTTCTATTGAGGTTCGGTACTGTGTTATCAGTGTTCAAAAAATCGACTCGACCAAGGTACTCGGACCTTGGCCAAGGTGCTCAGATCCTGACCATGGTGACTTACTAAAAAAAAAGGAGAATAATGAAAGTAAATAGGTGAAGGTTGGGCCTAGGAGGCTTGGCAGGATCTCATAGTTTAGACACCCTGGTTTGTCTAAGGTTCTATTGGGGTTCGGTATTGTATTATCAATGTTCAAAACTATTAGATGAAATCGTTACTGAGTAGGCATTATGTTGTGGTAATCGGTTAGAAACGATCTGAGTTTGTGGGATTAGCAGGTATACTACTTGGTTTGGGCAGAGTTTAGAAGGAATTGTTGGTGCTGAGAATAATTTGTGGTGGTGTGGGTACAATCCATTTGCGACTGCAACATCCATTTGATCAAGTCACACAGTGGTAAGGGTGTGTGGCCGCTCTTGTTGGTAATGGGCCTCTAGAGTATATCATATTGTGCCTTGGTACAAATTCGAATCTAAATTAGATCATAGTTAGCACATCTGGAAGTAACAATGCATCTGGTAAATTAAAAAGTGGATAATGAATCAATGGCCAAAAAAATTTGGGGAAAAAATATCGTTTGCCAAAAATTAGGTAATTTTAAAATGTGAATATTTGGGATCTAACTCAAACAAAGGGATTGAAAAACTAGATTTGAATAGTGCCACAAAATAAAGTGACAATTCACTACTCCTACAAAAATATAGTAGAGTTATTGAAAAATAACTTAATCTCGGTAGCATTTAGGGTTCTTCTTGATTAACTTTTTGTCTACACTTTTATTATACACAATGACATAGTATGCTTCCCTTTCTATCACGACATGAAACATCTGTTGAGGATTGATGTCTTGTATTCTGAAGAAATAGATCTGTCAAGGTAAAGTCAACAAGACAACTTCGGGTGGCCGTTAAAAGCCAAGAGGAGTGTTCGGCACAAGTAAACATGGTTGACTCGGCCCCTGTGGGGGTGGGGGGCGGCAACCCTCGAGGAAAAGTTTCCAAGATCCATACAAGGGTATTTTGGTAATTTGTATCATCTATCTGGGACTCGGTATATATCCGTACATAGGTATTTTGGTAATTTATACGGGACTCTATATATTCTGGCGATGGGGTTCTTTTTAGGGTTAAGGGAAAAGCTCAAATTTCTTTGTAATCAGAGAAAACAAAGAGGCGTAAGAAAGAGAGCTATTGTAACCTTATTCTCCATTGCCAATAAAGAAGCTCTTATCTCCGGTGGACGTAGGCATATTGCCAAATCACGTATATCTTTGTATTGTGGTTGGTTGTCTCTTTCTTTTGTGTTGGTTTTTTTCTTTCTTGTCTCGTGGATTGTATTTCGTTTCTACATCATGTACTGATCTTATTGGGAGCATGCAATAGAAGAACAACAATACAAAATACAATAATTTACATTAATGAATAACAAGAACAACAATCGAATTATAGGTTCATGGTTAGTAAAATACAAAGAACTAAGTATATGATTGTAGCTAACAAAAAACCAAAAATCCAAACAAATGAAATTGTAGTAAATCTAATTTTTGCTTTTGTGTTCACCAGTTAACAACAAAATAACCCAAAGACATGAAATTAATCATTTACAAAGAGAGACACAAACGGTTTACTTGTACTGAATGTTATGGAGTGATAAAATATGATTCTCTTCGTTTTTTCAATGATACTCTTGGTTTTGGAGAAAAAGAAGATTCAACAATGAGTTAATCTTCCGGTATCATTGCAATCATTTTAAGAGACTGTATTTGGGGAGTATCTTTTTCCTGAAATACATTTGGTAACTTTTTCTGCTATTTTTTTAGGGGGAGGGGGATATAATAGTTAGAGCTTGAGGGGATTCTTTATTAAATCAAGATCCATCATTTAATCTCAATTTTAGTAAGATTATTTCAAAAATGAAATTCCAAGATTCCAAATAATTGAATAGACATGATGTTTCAAGACAGTGAAAAATGATATGACAAACTGAAAGAAGTTTTTTTTTCAATTTTTTTTTGGAAAAAGATAAAATGTGCTCTTGTATCAAATTCACTAAGAAATTGTGTTTTTTTTTATATTTTTCAAAAAAACATCAAGTGTTTTACAGATCACAAAAAATAAATATTTTTTGAAAAAATTGTATTTTAATCATAGGCTTGCTAACCATGCATTAGATTACACATGCTTCCAATTGGCTATATCTTTCCTCAAATCAAAAATCACTTTTGATGTTATCATTTTGTCAAAATAATGAGAATCTATGATTTGCATTGATTTTCTTTATTTATTTCTGCTGAAAATTTTATCCCTATTAATCGCCAAGACGCCATCCTTGGTTCAGAACGGCTGTTAAAAAGGTCAAGCCCTGCGGGCTATGGCACTTTACAAGAAAATAATGCCTCCCAAACTTGTTCAAGAAAAGAAGCAATATTGCACTATGATGGCCACTGTTTATGGGTAGTTTAGCAGGGGGAATGGAGCTTAAAACATAGTGCAACTTTGATTTGCAAAGCACTGCAACCGTCAATATAAATGGGATTGTCTAAAGAGAACATTTATCTTTTGCCTTTTAAATTTCAAAACGGGTGGTATCTTTTTTTACATGGAGGTCACAAGTGTTTTAAATTTCAAAATGAGTGGTTATAAAAGTGTCATTGAATAGATGCAAAAGCTCAAAAAAAAATAAAATCTTAGACTTCATGACTCACCTTAGCCATCCAATTTGACATCTAATGAGTGGGAATGATTGTGACTTCTATATACAAAAATAAATGGAAAAAAATTATATAAGGGCGAAGCCCTAAACAATCAAATTAAGACGTACCTTAAAAATTCAAAAGAAGAGGATATTTCGATGTTGAAAAACCCTCAATTTGATTATCTCAATTTCAAGATTTATGGACATGAGAAAAAATAGATTTCAAGCACTGGAAATAGTACATCCTATAATGTATTATCTAGACAATCAATTTTCAAGTGCTCATAGATATGTTCGATCTATACTAATTTTGAATATTTAGATTTCATAAATAGAGATGAAAATAATTTTTCAGATCATCATAAAGATTTTTTATACTAAAACAACATATTTCGGCACTATTTAAAGGTCTGTTGCACTGTGATTGTTAGAGCCTCAAGCTTATACAAACCATACCCAAGATAAATTGTCTCTGTGTAGACAATCCCATTATATATATGGGTTTTGTTAGGCTACACCATTTGGTGGTGTAGACCCTTAAAGTGCTCAACATTTGTTTATATGAAAATACCCTTGAATTGTAATACAAAATTTTTCAAGTAAAGATATTTTTTGTTATTTAGAAGGGTAGAATAGATATTTTTATAAAAAAATAGTGATATTTTATTAATAGTTAAAAACAATTAATGCATCTTGTGGGTGATGA